CAGCTTGTTTTACCGCACTGTTGACATAGCATGCACAGATGTGTATATATGTTATTTTTTATTATATATATATATATATATATATATATATATATATATATATATATAGAGAGAGAGAGAGAGAGAGAGAGAGAGAGAGAGAGAGAGAGAGAGAGAGAGAAGAGAGTTACTGGCTTGAAAAGGGAGTGATGAGGACCCTTGTCTTGGCCCCTTTGGGGGGCTAAGACTGAGTGAAGATACCCATAAATCTGGAACACAGGAAGAAGTATGAGCTCCTGAGTTTGTACCTGATGCTCATCTGGACCTATTAACTGATGACTGAAGATGAGTTAACCAGAACCCAAGCAGGTGAAGATAAAATGCTTCATAATGTGAGCTAATGTTGATTGCTGCAACCTTATATTGCGTTCTTGGCTGGATTTTACTTATGGATATAGATGCTAAATAATCTAACAGGAACAGAAGATTCTTCAGAGAAAGGAACATGTTTATTTCTTCAAAGTTCTGGTTTGATCGGAACAGGCAACTCATAAATAGGCTATCAAAAATGAAGGATATTAAGGTATAAGGTATGAAGTTTTTGAGTTGCATGCTTCCATGACTACAGTTTTTATTATGATTGTAAAGGAAAATTTGATTTTTTAACTGTGAGGTTAATTCCTGGAAAAGACAGGGGGTGGTCTTTTGGTGTCTAAAGTTTTTCATTCAAAATGTGTCTTCTAACCAATGATTATATGTTTATTTTGTGATGAAATATTTACTCCATTAAGAAAGAGGATGAGGATTGGATACAAGCTCTACGCTACTTCTTGTTGCTTTGTGGTTGTGCACCATAGAGTTAGAAGTGACCCATAGCTGACACTCTGGCGGGTTTTCAGAGGCCATTGTATGGGAGGAGATTGCCCATTCTTTTCCTAAAGAGCAGATAGTGGCCTCAAACTGTGCTTCTTTGGGATTGCAGGACAGCTTCTTGCCACTAAGCCACCAGAGTTCCTTACCCTACTAGAAGCTTATATAACCTCATGGGACCTCAGTGTTAGTTCTCTCTGTAGGACTCCTCCCTTCACCTTATTTTCTGCAATGCACACCTGTCTCTGCAAAATTGTACTGCATATCTACAGTAGCATGAGTAATTTACCTAACAGCTCTGTCTCTGGGAGACCTTCCAGCGAACCACAGAACCTAATGGACATAAAGGACGTATGGAATTGAACAAGGTAGAGGCTGCTGATGTCAGAAATCATGGACTTAAACAGCAAATCAAGTATCTGGGACAAAGTAAATGCAGCACTTCTTATAACTGGCCGGCTATTCCCTGGAGAAGGACATTATGTTGGGAAGGGTGGAGAGTTAGTGAAGGAGAGAAAGGCCTTCAACCAAACAGATTGACAAGGTGATTGCTGCAATGGGCTCCTGTATGTCAAGAAGTGTGAGAATGGTACAGGACACAACTGGTTTCAGATCTTTTGTTTATAGGGTTGCTATAAGTTGTACTAGACTTGATGACACTTAAAAACAAAAACAACAACACTACTGTTAGCAGAAGGAAATATGATGACAGGGTGATAAATATAATTTTTACTTTATGAGTTATACACTTTAAGAAACCTATCCTTGGACCATAAAGCAGTCCTCAAAACAGAGCAAGGAAACATTGCATGGTTCAGAATCAAGAAAGGAGTGTGTCAGGGATGCATCCTGTCTCCACACTTTTTCCATCTATATGCAGAACAGGTCATTCACAAGACTGGGCTTTATGAGGAGGAATGTGGCATCAGGATTGGAAGAAGATTCATCAACAACCTGCATTATGCAGATGACACAACCTTGCTTGCTAAAACTGAGGGGAACCTAAAGCATTTGCTGCAGGGTCAAGGACTATAGTTTTCCAATATGGATTGAAGTTCAACATCAAGAAGACAAAGATCCTCACCACCAGGCCAATTGGCTGCACCATGACAGAAGCAAAAGAGTTTGAGGTTGTTAACAATTTTAGCTTGCTTGGCTCCACAATCAACACTGTTGGCACCAACAGTCAGGAAATCAAAAGACAAATTGTATTGGGAAAATACGCTGTCAGGGTTCTCTCTAGAGTACTGAGAAGCACTAATGTCAGTCTAGAGACTAAGGGTGCCTAATATAGGATATGGTCTTCACAATTACTTGCTATGCATCAGAAAGCTGGAAAATGACTAAGGGTAATAGAAGAATGATTGATACCTTTGAGTTGTGGTGTTAGAGAAGAGTCTTGGACATACAATGGACCACCAAGAAAACAAAGAGATTTGTCTTAGAGAAGGAGAAACCAAGTTTCTCCTTGGAGGCTAAGATTTTGAAGTTTCAACTCACATATTTTGGTCACATGGCCAGGAGGGGCCAGTCCTTGAAGAAGGACATCATGCTTAGAAGGGTAGAGGGACAGCTCAGAAGAGGAAGACTCCAGATGAGATGGATCAATACAGTAACTGTGGCAATGAGAGTAGATGTGTTGGAGCCAGTGAGACTGGCTCAGGATAGGGAAATTTTCAGAGCTGTTGTACATAGGGTCACTATGCGCTGCAGAAGACTTGACAACATATAACGACAACAACAATAACATACTCTGAAGGGAAGCTCTGGTGGCCTAGTGGGAAGAAACTGCTCTACAATCCTGAAAGCATATCGTTCTATTCCAACAGCTGCTTCTTGGAAGAGAAGGATGAGCAATTTCCTCACATGTGATTAAATATTTCTGGGAACCCACTGAAGGTTCAGCTGTTGATCAGTTCCGACTTGATACAAAACTACATACTCTCAAATAGCTATAGCTTCTGTTTTTTGTGAATTTACATTCTAAGCATTAGATAGATGACAGAGAGAGAGAGAGAGAGAGAGAAAGAGAGAGATGATAGCTAGCTAGCTCTAATTCTCTATGGAATTTCAAAAATTTGCTTTTGTATATTGTAGAGACACAGAAATTTATACCTCAAAGAGAAATAATAAATTGTTTAAGACCATTTTCTCTTCAATATAGAATACTCGAGTTGGAATAAAAATCTACCATCCACAGGTCCCGTGATCTTGAGAAAGATTGTCTCATTCATAAATAGAAATAGTAATAACAATATTAATAGAATACATGCCAAATAAAGTTTTTAACCATAATCAATAAAATAGGTGAATAGTAATTTTAGTTCTTTTAACAGCCTCAGAACATATTAGAAACAAAAAATATGACCTTTGAAAATACATCTCAGAATAACATTAGAATGTGTCTCAGGTTGTTGTGAGCACCAAGAGAAGAGGCACCATGTCTGGTTAGTTATGTTTTATAATTTTACACCTGGAATTAAAATAAATAAGTGAACATATAAAGAGCTGATCCTGTCTCTTTTTTTTTTAATTTTTTTATTTTTATTTTTATTTTGTGTGCGTGTACCGTCAAATCAGATCTGACTGGTACAGGAGGATATTGCGCCTCCTTCTCCGGCAGAGCATCTGGTGGATTCGAACCGTGTTCCTCTGGGAGTGCAGTGCAGCTTCTTGCCACTAGGCCACCAGAGCTCCCCTGATCCTGTCTCTTAACTCTAGTTTGTTGTGACCTTCTGTAAGAAAGTTAATACCCTTATATTTACATTTTTCACTAGTAATACCTAACCTAATATTCATATATGGTATATAAAAGTAATATAAAATACACAAACATTCCAAGTACTTTACAAATATAAACACTGCACAGACATCATAAACATACATAACATATATCTCTGTAGTTAAGAATTTTCAGTATTCTATTTTATTTTTATCTTAGTGTCAGTGATATTTTATAATATGTTCTGAACATTTATATTGTTCCCTCTCAAAGATTCTGAAATTCAAACTACATGGAATCATTTTTTTTTTTACTTTTGAGATCAATATATGTTGGTGAAATTTTGAATGATAATTGATGTTTTAAAAGTAGGTGGTTGTTGTTGTTAAGTGCCGTCAAGTCGCAGGCAACTCATAGCGACCCTATGAAGGAGAGTTCTAGACACTTGGGTGTTTTTCATCCTCTCTCCAGGTTCATAGGGTTTCTGGAGGCAAGCTATTATCGAAGTGGATGCCACTCCTCCTTCCAAGTAAAAGCAGGTAGTCATACCTAAAATTGAAACTCAGAATTACTGGTGCCAAGTTGAGTCCAATTCCTAGTGATCTTCCATCAGATTCCTGAGGCTGTACATCACAAAAAAGGAGATTGTCCACCTTTTTCCTGTATATTTGCTGGTGAATTCAAGCCAGCAGATATGTACAGCCTTGGAGTTAACTTTCTGTGTACTATGGCACCAGAGCTCTCACCATTACCTGTAGAACTAATAAAAACCCACTGTTGTTTAGTTGATTTGGATTCATAGAGACTCTATAGGACAGAGTAGAGGTGCTTCATAGTGCTTTAAATGCTGTGAATCTTTATTTACAGATGACTACCATATATCGTCCTTCCACTGAGTGGTTTGTGAGTTTGAAATGCTGACTTTTCCCTTAATAACTGAATACTTTCTGGGCCACCACAGCTCCTTATGCATGGGGAATTATTTTACAGGACACTACTCAATCAACCAATAACTGAGAGTGACTGGTAATTTTACTGGTCCTACATGCACCCTGTGGTCATATAGAGCAGGAGTTATAGGCTGACCTCCCTCTACTTCTAATTTTTTTCTGAGATCATCTCTATGTCCGGCTAACGATACCCTAAAGAAAGACTTGAGTAAGTAATGGTGAAATCAGCAGTAGAGAAAATGTAATAAGACAGCCCAGGTAGAAAGAGCAGCCTCCCCTGACATTTGGGTTTTTTGGATTTGGTTTTTTTGTTTGTTGGTTTGTTTGTTTGTGTTTTTTTTTTAAGCTATGAATTGCTCCATAAATCTAATGTTTCCATAAAGACTTTGGACTTGAACTGAAATTATTTAATGGAAGATTAAATAAACTCAATGTCAGAAATCAAGTATCAGATATTTTGATAAGTGAAGAAATCTTACCTGTGACTCTGTAGTTCATCTCACTGCCTGAATAAATCAGCATCCCATCCATGTATAAAGAGTACTGAGTTATAATGCCATTTGCTTGTATGGGTGGTTTCCAGAAGACTAACAAAGAATCTGGAAGAGATTTGGCTACTGGTGGCTGAACTTCCTGTGGGGCTGTGGAAAAGAAAAAAAGATTTATGGCTTCTAATTTTAGTTTACTTTCCTAATTCAAACTTTTCAGACCCAAACCAATAAATCACAGAATAAACCTGAAATCCCATGCATGAAAATGTTCCTGATTCCTGGGCAGCTTGTCAGTAATTGCTTTAGGAATAGAACTAAATAACTGTCTTAAATTTATGAGAATTTGCATCAATGATTGATGGGGAGTACTTACAATTGTTCAAGTGATTGATGTTTGTGTTACTTCATCAAAAGTATTATTAACTCATACTGTCTATGTGGAGCTGTGCCCATTAAAGCAAATTAAGCAGATAGAGTCCTTGCCTTCGAGAAGCTTTTGGTCTAAGATGGGAAATATTAGTGGGTACTGGCTATAAAACCCACTCCTATCAAGTCAATTCTGATTCCTGTTGATCTTGTATAACAAAGTGGAACTACCCATACAGTTCCCAAGGCTGTAATCTTTTTGGAATTGACTGCTGCATCTTTCTCCTGTAAAGAGGCTGACAGGCTCAAACTACTGACCTTTTGCTTAGTCATCTAGCAGTCAAACACTTAATCATTATACCAGCAATATTTATATGTTTCATAATAATTTTTTCCAATATAATATATAACTATAGAAATAACCAGGGAACATAAAATCAATTTAATAAATTCTATATAAATGCTTCATTATGTGTAAGTTTTAAAAAACTAAAAAAACAACTCAATATTTTACTATGGCTAATGAATTGAAGTCGTTAAAACTAAATTTAAAATAGAAAAATCAGAAGCTGTCTTGACTAAATTGTTCTATACTGCTGCCAATCTGAATTATAGCCTTTTGACTTCCGTAATAAACACCATACTCACAGAAGAAAATTTGACCCTAAGACATTGGATTAGATCAATATGTATTTCCATGCCAAGAAAAGGTGACCCAAATGAGTGTGAAAATTATCATATAATATCATTCATAACTCACACAAGCAAAATCCTGCTTAAGATTATCCAGAAATGACTGAAACAGAACATAGAGAACTACCAGAAATATAAACTGGGTTTAGAAGAACATAGAGAACTACCAGAAATATAAACTGGGTTTAGAAGAAGTCTTGGCACTAGAGACATTATTACCAAAGTCAGATGGATCTTGGAAGAAAGCTAAGAGTACCAGAGGGGTATCTACCTGTGTTTCATTTACTGTGCAAAGGCATTTAATTATGTGGATCACATACATTGTACTTAACCTTGAGGAGAATGGGAATACCAGAATATTTGATTGTGCTTATACTAAACCTGTACTTGGACCAATAAGCAGTCCTCAGAACAGAGTAAGGAAAAGCTGTATGGTTGAAAATCAGGAAGGGAGTGCATCAGGGATGCATCCTTTCTCCATACTTTTCCAATCTATATGCAGAACAAATCATTTATGGCTTTACAGGGAGGAATGTAGCATCAGGATAGGAGGAAGCATCAAAAACCCAAGTTATGTAGATGACATTGCTTGCTGAAACTGAAGAGGACCTGATACTTGATGCAGAAGGTCAAGAACTGTAGTATTCAATATGGATTGAACCTAAATATAAAGAAGACAAAGATTCTCACCAGCGGGCCAATTGGCAGCACCATGATGGATGGAGAATAGACTGCAGTTATTAACAGTTATAGCTTGCTCAGCTCCACAATCAACACTCTTGACACCAACAGTCAAGGATTTAAAAGATGAATTGTAGTAGGTAAATCTGCTGTCAGAGACCTCTTCAGAGTACTGAGAAGCGATGTTAGTCTAGAGACTAATGTGTTACTAATCCAGTCCATAGTCTTCACAATTACTTGCTATGTATCAGAGAGCTGGACAATGACTACGGATGACAGAAGAATAATAGACACCTTTGAGTTCTGATGCTGGAGAAGAGTATTGAACATACTATGGACTGCCAAGTAAACAAATAAGTTTGTCTTGGAGAGGGTGAAACCAAGTTTCTCCTTGATGCTAGGACTGCAAAGCTCGGTATCATGTATTTTGGGCATGTGGACAGGACAGACCAGTCCTTGGAGAAGGACATCATGTTTGGAAGAATGGAGGGACAACACAGACCCCAGATGAGATGGATTGATACAGTAAATGGGGCAATGGGGATTGGTGTGTCAGAGTCAGTGAGACTGGCTCAGGACAGGGCAGGCTTCAGAGCAGTTGTCCATAGGGTCACTATGGGTGGCAGGTGACTCGATGGTACATAACAACAATACACTGCTGATAAGACCATAAAATGATAAAACCACTCTACAAAATGGCATAGTGCTTCCTTAAAAATTTAGAAATAGAGATAGCCAATGATCCAGCATTCCTGGTGCTAGGTATATATCCCAGGAAAATTAGCACTGTGACATAAACAGGTACACATATATCCATATTCAGCAGAAATGTTCAAAAAAAGCAAAAAGTTGGACCAAGTTAAATTCCTATCAACCGATGAATAGATTGAAAAAATTATGGAACATATGCACAATACAACATATTGGGTAGGGATTTGTGTTGATATCCAAAAAAGTAGGCATTTGAAATCCAATAGCTCTTCTGCGGGAGAAAGGTGGGCAATCTCCTCCTACGTAATTTATAGCCTCTCAAAACCCACTGGATGGTCAGCCAAGAGTTGGTTCTGACTTGATGGCAGCAAGCAACAACAGTCAACCAGGACAATGGTCTATATTGACTAGAGTCTTAAAATTTTGTGAGTGGCCACTTAACATAGAACTGTGTGTCTTTTTCCACATAAAGTAAAGAAAAATCTAAGATTAAAGAAAAGAGTTTCTCCAAAGAACTATTGGATCACTAAAACCACAGCCTTGGCCATGCTGAGAATAGAAGTACTAGCTGCTGCCTGGCTAATGCTACTTAGCTCTTCTGATCAGAATCACCATAGAAGGTACTGTTGTTGTTGTTGTTGTTGTTGTTATGTGCCGTCTAGTCGTTTGCGACTCATAGCGACCCTATGTACAATAGCCCTAAACCCTGCTCTATCCTGTGCCAATTGCATTGCCTCTGACACACCCATCCCGATTACCCCAGTCTGAATCAATCCACCTCATAGAGGGTCTTCCCCTCCTGCGCTGTCCCTCTACTCTACCAAGCATGATGTCCCTCTCTAAAGACCTGTTTCTCCTTACAACATGTCCAAAATATGTCAGACAAAGCCCCAGAATCCTCTCCTCCAGGAGTAGCCTGGTTTAACCCCCTCTAGGATGAATCTATTTGTTTTCTTGGCAGTCCATGGTACATTCAATTCTCTTCTCCAGCACCACAGCTCAATGGAGTCAATTCTCCTTCTGTCCTCCATAGTCATTGTCCAACTCTCTGATGCATAACAAGTGATTGCAAAAACCATGGCCTGTATCAGGCACACCTTAGTCTCCAGAGAGACACCATTGCTCTTACTAGGTAAAAACAAAAAACAAAAAACAAAAACAACAGAGCAAAATTCAAGATCAAAAAAAAGATCATATTTATTATCTGACAGAGGTAGGTGAAACATCCTTAACTGTGAAACTCTTGGAAGATATTCTTAAAATCCAGAAATTAAGCTTTCAGCCAAAGACTAGACAGACCTATAAAGATAACAATAACACAGCTAAAGAACGTGCTTCTCAGAGCAGTCTGCTACCTAAGACCAAAAGGACAGCCCTTTCCCCAAACCAAAGTTCAGAATGCAGGAGGGAAATGGAAAGGTAGATTAAGGAAGCAGACAATCCAGGGAGGAAGTGGGAAGAATCCCAATACGTTCAAGAGAATTTTAACCAATGTTGCAAATAAATGTGTATAAATGATCAAATGGAAAATGAAAAAAACAAAAACAACAAAACACAACTAACCCTCAACATTTCTGTCATATAATAAATTGGGAATTTGTGAGTGGCTGTCAAGTTTACTCAGATTTTTGATGACCCACATGTGCGGACCAGAATGTTCCACAGACTTTTCAGGGACAGATCTTTCAGAAGTAGATTACCAGGTCTGATTTCTGCAATGTTTCTAGTTGGACCCAAACCACCAACCTTTAGTTTAGTAGTTCAGTACTTTACTATGTGTATCAACCAGGCCATGGTCTTCACAATTACTTGTTATGGTTCAGAGAGCTGGGCAATGACTAAGGATGATAGAAGAAGTGATGCCTTTGAGTTGTAATGCTGGAGAAGAGTCCAGAACATACCATGAACTGCCAAGAGGACAAATAGGTCTGTCTCAAGTTTCTCTTTGGAGGCTAGGATTTTGAAGCTCCATCAAACATACTTTGGGTATATGGCCAGGAGAGAACAGTCCTTGGAGAAGGACATCATGCTTAGAAGGATGGCAGGACAGCACAGGAGAGGGAGACCCTGGATAAGACAATATGATACAGTGATGGGGACAATGGGGGTTGGTATGTTGGAATTAGTGAGACTGGTTCAAGACAGGGAAGAATTCAGAGCTGCTGTATGTAGGGTTGTTATGGGTTGCAGGCAACTCAACAACACATAACAATAACAACCACCAACCAACCAAAGAAGTCTACATGAGGAATAAATTCCTTAAAACACAACAACATATAAAACACCCTAGAAGACTGTGAACTACGTTAATAAAAATAAAGTTATAAAGGATGAGCGGAGGTAATTCTGAGGCCTACCTATGAGAGGCCACGGCAAAACCTGGACAAAGTAAGTAGCAGATGCTGGGAAAACAATGAAAGATGTGGGACAATTTGGGCAATTTTGAGAATGGTGAAAGTATTTGTATACATAGCTGTTGATTACGGACACTGGTGCTTGTGATTATTGAAGCATGACAGTGGGTTTTGTCAGTTACTTTGCTGCTATTGTTGCTTGATTACATTAAGTTGACTACAACTCATAGTAACTTTGCGAACAAGTAGTGTGCAAACACTATCTCAATCATGTTCAAGCCTATCGTTGCAATTACTTTGTCAATCCATCTGGTTGATAGTGCTGCCTTCTTTCTCTGACCACATATTTTTTTCAAGTGTGATGCCTTTGTCCAAGGACTGGCATCTCCTAACAACATGTCCAAGTAGGTGATGAAGTTTCACCATCCTTGCAGGAAGGGAGAGTACTGAGAATACACGGCTGACATAGTTCAGTGGTGAGGGAAGTTTACTCTCCTCAGTTTCAAAGCACAGAGAAGAATGGCTTTCAGGGAGGATTGTAGGAGTCCCTTTATCCTCTCAATTATCTCCTTTAGCCTATGCCTGCTTTCCTTCCTATGCATTTTCTGTGCATGTGATGTTGGCTTAAGAATGTAAGACAGTTAAGAAGATGAGGGGAAGAGAGAAGCAAATGTCTAGATGGGGCGGTGGGGGAGAAACAGGCTGATTGTCCTTAAGATCATGCTTTTAAATATCCTCCATAACTTTAAAACTGTTGTTGTTGTTTGTGCTATCGAGTCGCTTGCGACTCATAGCGACTTTAAAATGAGATAGCGTAAAACCTGTGTACTTCCTCTCCTCCAAAAGATGGAACATTAGGTAACAATGCTTCAAATGTCTTGAGCATGGTTATTTCTTGAAGGGATGTGTGCTGACGCTTGTGCAAAGCTTTTGCTTTAGAGTTCTAAAATACATTTTCTTTCTCATTGCCTTCCTGATGCAGGCTTTCAGAAATATTATTTTATGCCAACAGTTTGTAAGTTCTAAAAACAACAAAAGTGAGACTTAAGTCGGAAAGAACCGAGCAGTGATTAATAAATGCTTTCATTGGCATTTGGGGGCTCCATCAGAGTGAAATAATTGTTGCCTGGGCTAGTGTTTAGCAGTTAAAAGATACCATGGAAATCAACCGTTTGATTCTCAATTTCATACTGTGCCATACAATCAATTCTTTTTAGTCAGACTGTCTCTAGATTTACTTCAGAGCCATAGTAAAATGAGGAAGCTTTCATTAATCTTTCAGATGCTTCATATTAATGACAAGGCTCTTGCATGAACAATGTAACAGCAATTAAAAAGCCCATTAATCTGCATTACAGCTATTAAAGATGCATGTCATTAAAGGGTATGGAGTTTGATTCATTTTCGCACCCCCCAAAAAATGGAGCAATTATGGCCTGGCAATGCACTTTGTCATCAAATTAGGTTGGGGTTTTCCAGCAAATGGCCTCGCAGCATTTAGCTCTTCTCCTATTTTATTATTCATGACTGAAATGTGGAAGTCAAGACCTTTGAAATTACTTTACCTTCTTGTGGAGTAGAGATGTTCAACGCATGTGAGCTCTCCGTGCAGCCAGCCAAAGTGCAGGCAGTTAGGGTCACTGCATAGTTTTTGAAGGGTAGCAAGCCTGTCAATATGCCTATAATAAGAGAAAAAGAAAGAGGTGTACATGTTTACCTTAAGTGGCTATAGAAAACATTGTGAGTGTGTGTGTGTGTGGTGTGTGTATGAGAGAGAGACAAATAGACAAGAAGACAGAGAGACAGAGACCAAGAGACAAAAAAATAAAGCCATGTGTCTCTCTAATTCCTTTCCTGCATGTGTGCTGCATGAAAGATCGTTTCACTAGTCAGAAAAGGAAGACTTACATATTTTCAAGACAGCTTTAAAAAAGCATTTTTCTCAAACTCATGACTCAGAACTGCAACACCTCACAATATCTCCCTCCTCCAAAAGGAGGGGTCTGCAGACATATAGCTTGTTCAACACAGCACAACATCTCTCTCTCTCTCTTAGATAAGATGCATCTTAGCCCATTTCAGTATTCCAGAACTTCTGCCGAAACATAGCTATTTCATTTTCTCTAACCTAGCATTTTCACAGCCTGATTTGACGAGGGAGTCCTTTTTATGTGTCATCTATTAACTCATGTTAGGAAATGCTACTTCAGAGAAGGGCTTCATTATCTTAACTCTAGGACTCACAAAAACTATTTGTTTACGTTGTAGCTAACAAATATGCAAATACACCGAGTTGAACAATTAACAAATTAGATAATTAGGCTTTTGTACTTCTACTTGCAAAATTATTAGTTTACTAAATTAAGACACCTGTCTTAAATAGAAGCTTTGCACATGGAAGTGTAGAATTAACCTGGCTCAGTGGTGGATGCATGGGATTTGTTCAGCAATTAAATGTACCTGGAGAAATGAAAACACATTTTGTTTAGTGATTTTCATAATCAAAGTAAAGGATTTTCCCCCTAATCCTGTGAATTAAAGAAGTACCAAAATATAATTTGTACATTTACTTACAATGATTTTTTTCACAGTAGAAGTTTCCGTTATCTTTAATTTTTTTTTCATCTATCTTTCTTTCTAACCACATAGGTTTCCACCATTATAAGGGAATAGCCCAACTTATGGCATGTCTTTATTGAACAAACTTCTACAAAGTCTTTTTGTTTGAGTTTCCTCCCCCTCAAAATAAATAACTTTATTAAAAATACAACCTAAATCATAGGCCCTCTTAAGTAATTCTTTTTTATTTTAAGGGTTTTATTTATATTTTATATTGGTTTGCTTACAATGTTTGTATACATTGTGTTTCACATAATTCTTCAATTTGTATTTCATATGATCACTCTCATGCATTATATGTTTTAAAATTAATCAGCACTGGAACTTGCCCATCATTACTCTGTCACATTCAGCCTTGTTTAAGGTCAATATTGGTGACTGCTTGTATCATTTACACACAAATTTAACACACGTGGTCCTCTCTCTAAAAGAATGTTAAGGATTTGAAGGATCAGGAAATAAGTGAAGGTCATAAACCATTGTTGGCTCTGGCACCTATTACATCCTCTCCCTCCTTCACACTGCCTCTAAGTCTCCATTCCACCAATCTCCTAGCTTGTGCCACTTGCCTGTGCTACTAAACCCTCTCTGCTAGGCAATGCTTCCACATGAAAATATCCAGCCCCTTGGCACCACAGTCTCAGTTCACAGCCAAAAAGGAGAATATGCCAATGAACTAATTTGCATACATGTGTGACCTTCTTATGTCAAATTCAGAGAGCTCCAATTTCAGAACCCACAGTCTTCTGCTTTCTCTCATTCTTGCCACTATGTGGCTGTATGGACTTGTGTACATTGTTCTGGCTTTTATGCCCTAATCTCTACACATGAAAACAAATAATAACAGTGCCTAGCTTAAAGGAATAGAGTGATAAACATCACAATAAACAGATAAAAATTAGTTTCGGCAATTTCATCCTACTTGATTTGGTGGTGCTTACATCTATACAGGTGAAAAATCAATTGACACATTGCAATGGGTAAATAAATCTATCAGACTAAAGTTATGAAAAGCAAAATTGTCAGTTTTATAACTAGCATACACCTGGCTTAATCCATGATCATTCCAGTTGTCTCAGGCAAGAGAAACCTGGATAATTGAAAAGGAAGCCTAGAGAACTGACACATTTGAATTGTGCTCTTTCCCAATGAATACAAAATACACTGTGGACTGTCAGAAGAATAAACACATTAGTCTTAGAATAAACACAGCCAGAATGATCTTGAGAAGCAAGTAGAGGAAGACTGTAGGTTGTTTGTTCTTTCCTGGTAGTGTGCTCTGAGCAATCTATGGAAAAGGAAGTCCCTCAGTGAAAATACGTGATACGATAATTGTGAACACAGAGAAACACCTGAAGTTGTACATAGCTTATGCTCTGAAATCTTAAAGCACACAAAATATCAAGAAGATATTGTCACTAAGAAATAATACTGAGGGAAATGGGAAGGATCTGGTATAAAAATCAGTGTATTTGTATTTTGTAAACAAATTATTTTTAAAAAGAAGCAATATAAAGAAATTTTTCATTATTTTCCAATTTTAGGCTAGTCATATAAAATACTTTATCTAAGGATATAATTTCTTTGCAAGTCATAACTGAATGTCAAGCTGGAGTAGGAACTGTTCCATTAACTCCTCAGAAAACGTATTAGCACCTTTTAGAAGATTCATTCAAATATCAAGTATATTTGTTTGAGCCTCAGGATTTATTTAAACTTTCTTGTTTTCACTAAAGGAGTTATTTTTGGCAGTCTGTGTGTGATGAAACCATTTGCTGTTTTTTTTTTTTTTTACTCTTTAAACCTCAAGAACCTTAAAAAGCAGGTAAGGTTCCTTTCAGTGAATTTGCTTTCTTTAGCTGTGTGTGGTGGGGGAGAGGGAGAAGTTTATCAAATTGCATTTCATAGAAAGAATCTGAGATTCCTAAAAAAGATGCTGGAGAGAAACTAGATCAACTTTTAGGCCATTTATCAAAGTGCTCACAGTTCCCATTTCAAGGCAGGTGAAGCAATAATAAATACTGAGAAATGAGAACTGGAAAATAGAGAGTGAGAAAAAAGAAAGAAAGGCTAGCTTTTGGGTTTGCCAGCTCTGAATCCCAGGTGGAAAGTTTTGAGTCATTTGTAAACCACATTTTAAATCAACAGCAAGAAATGCTGTTCTTTTTGAGAATCAGTTGGTTTTCATTCTTATTTCCCTGAGCGATCTTGCTTAAAATGCTGCTTCTCAGGGACAGTTTTTCTCAAAACATCTAAATATCTTTCCCTTTTTAATAATCAGTCATAATATTATCTATTTCAGTAAGAACAGGGCAATGATTCGGTGCTCTAGCTCCTTTGGCCAGGCAATAATAAACTGCCTGGATAGGGGCAAGAAATTGTCAACCAAACAGACTTCACTCAATTGGGAAAATGTCATAATCCTATTAACATGAATATTTATAATGATTAGTGACTGAGTGAGTGGACAAATAGTTTTGCTTTAAGGGTCAGAATCAGACAGTATATTCCTCATGAAAGGAAAAACAGAATGACTGTGATGATTTGTCATCAGCAAAAAGCATTTATCATGGTTTATTCTCCTGGGAAGGATGTTATGGAAAATATCTGGTCTTTAATAACACTTTTAACCTAAGAAAATACGAGCACCAGAAGGCACTTAATGCTAACAGAAATACAAAGTCAAACACTAAACAGAATGACTTGCCAAGAAGACAGACAAGGTGTAGACTCCAGAATCACTAGTATAATTGTTGTTATTATTTAATACACTGAAGTTATAACTGATCCCTAGCTGGCCCTCTAGAGGGTTTTCAGAGGGAATAAATTGCATGGGAGTAGATTGCCCACCTTTTCTCCTGTGGAGCAGCTGGTGGATTTGAAATGTGTATCTTAGGGTTGGCAGCACAATAGGTAGTCTATATTTAATTGAGAGCTTTGGTGGCCTAGTGGGTAAGGAGTTACATTGCCAACCCAAAGAGAGTGGTTCAAATCTATGAGCTGCTCTGATAGAGAAAGATGGGTTATCTCCAACGCCATTTACAGCCTCTGAAAACCCAATGAAAAGGCTCCCTATGTGTTGGTCACTACATGACAGCACATGCAGTAAGGGGCCTGGTGGCATAATACTTAAGTGTTAACTAAAAAGTCGGTGATTCAATTCTACCAGTGTAATATGAGCGCTCTCCTCCTGTAACGATTTACAGCCTTGGAAACGGGACAATGGCCATTAGTATTTAGACTCGACTAAACAACAATGAGTTTAGTGGCATTATGGATAAACAATTAGTCTGCTAACCAAAATATCAGCAGTGTCAAACTGCCAGCCCTGAGGTAGTCTTCTTCCATAAAGATTTTTCTTTTTAGCCTTGGAAACTCTATGGGCAGTTGAACTCTGTCTACAAGGTCACTATGAGTTAGAATTGAAGTGTTGTTGAGAGGAGGTTTTCTTAAAGGGGTGTCATAATGATTAAGTACTTATCTGTTAAAGCAGAAGGTTGGTGAGACCTGTCAGAAACTCCTAGGAGAAAAGATTCGTTGATCTTCTCTCTTAAAGAATAGGGTCTAGACTGTGGGGTATTTCTGCTCAGTCATATAGGATCACAATGAATTATAACTGACTTGGCTGCAAATGAGGACAACAACATATGTAATTAAAGACAAGGAAAAAATTGTCATGGGAATGATATGTCAAGGGTAAGCTTAAAAGCATAGGAGGAAAACATACAGTACTATATATTTTAAAGGAATTATCGGCAGAAAATGTGATATGGATTATGTTTCCATTAAATCCAAACAATAGAAACATGAGATTTTTATTAGTTGGCATAGAGTTGACTCCAAGTCAAGGGGATGACGTGTGTAGAGTCGAACTGCTTGTTGGCTTTTCCTTTTTTTTTTGCTTATTTTTTTAAATTTAAATTTATTATTAATTTCAGTAAAAATTTACAGAGACTTAGGATTTCCATTCATTCATTGCTGTCCTTTTCTCTCCTTCCAAACCTTCCGCCTAGTACACTACCCTCTTGAAAAAATAAAAGAAAAATTCTCTCATTGTTTA